TCAGGCTTCAGCTGAACTCGCTTTGTGAAACCGATAAACCAGAGTTTTCGTTAACTCAGGGTTTACTTACTCAGTGTTTCCACTAAACCGGCTTCCTGAAACAGGGCCCAGCTCGTCACATTTACATAAACTTCCATCCTAACGGTGTGACTCATAAGTGCTGGACTGTACGTGTGTCAGTCTTCTCCCCAACAAGCACAACAATGTTGACGAGACGTCGTCACGTGCGGGTGTCTTTGGTTTCATCCTGTAATGCTGGACTTGTTTGTTTGTTTTTTACGAAGGTTTGAACTTTGAGCGTATAAACAAGAGAGAGAACTGAAAATGTTCATGCCTGTCTGAGAAAAGTGTCTAAAGTGTGTAGTGACGGGTTTTACAGCCTTAAAACATCTGTAATCATTGTAAATAAAGTCGGCTACTTCGCGGGTTTCAGTTATCGCGGGTTATTTTTAGAACGTAACTCCTGCTCTAAAAACAAAACAAGCCAATACACACACACACACACACACACACACACACACAGACACACACACACACACACACACACACACACACACACAAGAGATAATACAGCAGCCTGAATATTGAAACTCTCACTCTGGGCCAAAAAGGCTAACATGTGGTCATGGAGCCAACCACATTAAAGGGTTTAAACACACACACACACACATATATATATGTGTGCATGTGTGTGTGTTATATTGTGTAACCCTGTGATTCATGCGCAGCTCTTTGGTCAGTGTTGTTGTTTTAAATGTGTTTCCAGATAAATTTGGATAAAGAGAAAGAGACGAAACATAAACGAGGCAGAAATAATCGAGTGGTTTAAAAAATGCTTTAGTTTCGTTTGATTACTTTTTGTTCTGTTATCTTCAGCCGTAACGCCCCCCTGCAGTCCCTCTGAAAGCCCCCTCCTCTTCCCGGGAGAGCCCCTGTGACCCCCCCCCTCTCCCTCCAGTGAGTGAGAAAGAGAGAGCCTTCGGCGATGACGTAATCGGGAGGGTGTGTTTACCGTCTGTCTCTGTGTTTGTAAATAAAATGTAACTAAATTGCGACTCATTAACACAATGGGTTAGTTTGGCTCGCTCTCACCACCCTGCGCTCTGATTGGCTGCGCCCGCGCTTCGCTCCTCTCCGATTGGACGCTGGTTGGCTGCCAGGCGGAGGGAGGAGGGAGGGGTTGGGTGTTGCCTCGGTGTGCGAGCTTCATTCCAGTGTTGAGCTCTCTCCTGAACCGTCGCTCCGTCCTTCTGCTGCTCCTCTTGCTGTGCCTCTCTGCGCCGAACAGACCGAGTCCCGGAGCATCATGGGAGTGGAAGGCTGCACCAAATGCATCAAATACCTGCTCTTCTTCTTCAACTTCATCTTCTGGGTGAGCGCGCTCGCGTGTGTGTCCCCTAGCTGCTGGACATCGTCACGTCCCCCACCCATTTACCGCGAGGCCTGCTCCGGGACACGCGCGCGCACATTGTCGGCAGCAGGGGCTCGCGGTGGGGAAATCACCGTCAGCGCGGGAGTCGTGGGGGAGTCGTGCGCGCGCTCTGCTTACGTAACCACATTGTACCTCCGAGGCAAAGTGTGGGTGCTGTGCGCCGACGTGCACAGGTGGGGACAGATCAGGTGTGTGACCGCGGGCGATGTTCACTGCTCGGTTTGTGTGGCAGGAAAAGTCGGAGCTGGAAGTTTGGTGTGTTTGGTGTGCGGCTTTGTGTGGATTACATCCTCCCGTATGCGTGCGTGCGTGCGTGCGTGCGTGTGTGGGTAGGATGGGTGGGTGGAGGGGTTTCCACTGGATGAGTCAAAGCCTGTTGGGTAATGGATGGTGGAAACATTTGTGGGCAGTTTGTCATCTCCTCCTCCTCCCCCTGCTGCTGCTCCTGGTTTCTTCTCTCTGCTCTGTGGAAAGTCCAGGAGCGCCGAGCTGCAGTCCTGGAAAGCTGACGATCCCTGTTTTACATCCTTACTAAAAGTGAAAGTGAAGCAACCCTCCATAGCAAACAGAGGCTCTGCACCATTTCATGGGCGGAGTCCACACGCCACCACAGAGGAGTCTGAGCCGTCCCACCGGGAGCGTCTCCAGAGCAAGAAGCGAGTTTTTAAATCAGAAATAAATCCAGCATCATAAGGAAGGCGGGGCTCTTCCTCGGCTTCTGCCGTTTCTCGCAGGTATCAGTGATGGCCACTCCCAGCTCGCTCTTTGTCAGCGAGCGGCGTTGTTGCCTTTTACCCCCAAACATCTCCTAAAGCTGACCGAGGCGCTCTTAGTGTCAAACCACATGAGCAGCAGCTGGCAGGTAGCCGCTCTCCAAACACAGCACCAGCCTCTGAAGCCGCTTCGGCACAGCCAGGCTCTGTTTGTGTGAGCCGGGTTAACAAAACCTCAATCCCGCGATGGTCGTTGGTTCTTTGTGTCATCGGTCGAGCGCTGAAGGCTCTAAATCTTTATCGGCAGGAAAATCTGTGACACTAACAAAACTACAGTTAAAAGTCCAAACTTTAACCCTCCTTCACTTTTACCACAGCTGTCCAGTGGGCCAAATTAGAGTGTTTGCCTGGCCAATTCTGGCCCCTGGACCTTAGGTTTGACACTCCTTTGATGGCCGACCTGCAGCTGTTATATGATGATAAACTTACTTAGAAATCAGCGGCTTTATCATCACCGTCGGTTAGGTCGTTGGATAAGCTGTTGTCATAGAAACAGTTTTATTTTCACATGTTTACACAGCTATTTTCTTATCAGCTGTTTACGGTAAACAAACGCGTATGTGAGCAAGTGTGGAACCTTTTATCCCGTTACAGTGTAACAGTGTTTGTAGTTTCTAAAACCTTTTAGATATTTAGGCAAAAATTAGATTTTATTGTTTTAAAAAAGTCGCGTCGAGTCCTGGAATCAGTGCAGCTGATGATCTCCTCGTGACCCCCACCTCATGTTTTATGTTTGTTCTCACTAAAACGCCGCGCTCAGGGGACCCTTAGTTGCCCTTTGACGAGCTTCAAGACTTTAATAAATGTCTGATAACTAAAAGAATAAAGTGACTGAAGCCTCTGCTGTGTGTCACACTGCTGGGATAATTCTCCACGTTTAGCTCGGGTCTGCTGTGTCGCTCGATTTCAGCCACTTTAATAGAAGTCACAGGAAGTGTTGTACGCGCTTCTCAGGAAGCTGCAGAGTTAGAAATGTGTGAACTTTTACATGAAAGTGCTGATCAGTGTTAGTGGAGCTGAGGAAGCAGCTGCAGCTCAGCAGCCTGTGAGCTTCCACCGCTCTCACACATCTGGCGTGTCCACGCTCCAGCGCTAACAGGAAGTCTGCGCCTTTTAAAGTGCTCCTGCAATGGAAACGTCTGAAACAACGGGCTTAGCCCGAAGTTCTCCGTGTGCAGTCGTCACCTCGAAGCATGACAGTGTGTGTTTGCACGCCATTTATACACACACACACACACACACACAGTCTCAGACGGGGTCTCTGGATTTAATGTCTCCCCCAGGAAAATGTTGGAAAATGTCATCTTTCCTGTTTTGTCCGATAAACAGTCCATGTGTGGACGAGTAGAAGCCTGAACATATTCAACCAAGCGTGCGGCTGCTTCATTATCTTATCAGCTCCTCTAATCATCAAGCGCCATGCAGCGGCTGAACTCTAACAGATGTGTTTAAAGGGGATTTCCACGGGCTGTGAATATAATTAGCAAGAAATGAGTGAAAACACAGGTGATAATGATGGTGGTGGTGATGGTGGTGGTGGGGGTGTCGATGAATGATGCAGGCTCATCCTGTCTGGAGCCCGGCCCACAATAGCCCCTGATTCTGACTGAAAGGCCCGACTCGCAGGGCCACAGCCGAGCAGTCAGCTGTGCGCCGGGGAGAAGAAGAACGCCGTTTCTGTTCCAGCAGCTCACCTGTAAAACCCTCCTGCTGCCTTTTCATCAGAGTTGTTGGCTGCAGCCTCTTTCTGTCAGTGTGGCTCAGAGCTCTCGCTGTCAAGGACAGACAGCGAGAGCTCTGAGAAAGGAAAAAGTCAAGGATCAGCGCGACCCCACAGCCTGCGCAGCGGCGTGATGGTCCGAAGCCGACCTGGCCGCTTCCTTTTGTTTGTGCGCATGAAATAAACGTTCTCATGCTGAGCACAAATCAGTTTGACTCGTTCTGATCAGCTGGGCAGCCTGCTGCAGCTCTTATCTTCATAGTCACATTTTATTTGGTCTGCCACGCCCTCTCTCAAACCCGGCGGCTGGCGAGGAGCTGTGTTAATGATTCTCACACCTTCAGACTTTCAGGTAGAAACGATCAAACCTGAATCATGAATCTGTTTTTTCCTGCCTGCTCCAGAAACCCTGTTTCTCTTTGTGCTTGAATGAGTCTTTTATCCCTTTTGGTCTGTGAGCGTCACAGCAGCTGCTGGTTTCTCGTTATGTTTCTCGTGAACAGTCAGTTTGGTCGGTTGGGTGTCTCTGCTCGCGTGCTCGCGGCTCGTTTAGCGGGAGGTTGCATTTTTAGGTCTCCACGTGGGACACGGCCAAATGCTGCCCAGAAATATCAGAGAGTAGCTCACCAACGAGTACCACACACGCGTGAGCGCCGCGACGTGCGCTACAGTCCACGGGGAGCGAGGAGGCGTGCAGCAGATGGTCAGAGCGCCGCATTTAAGGACACACACACGTTACCAAACCTTCTTACTTTCACCGTGTGCCGCAGCTGCTCGTACAAAGTGTGTGCGCAGCACTGAGGCATACCACTCCATCGTAGCGGCGCACCCTGAACTTTGACCTTCTGAGGAAAAGTGTAGCCGGAGCAGAGGAATGTGGGACCGACTGATAGGAAAAACAGGCAGGAAAATACGAGCGCGTGAAGCTGGACTGAAGAGACAGCCCGGCGGGCGTTTCTGGACTCGGCCTTAGCGTTCTGTTTGCCGCCATGTTTTCAGGCGCCAGAAGCGACCTCGTTTGGATGACAGGGCGGCGTGCTGAGTTAGCACAGATACCTGCTCATTAGCGCTGAGCAACTTCCAAATGAAGCGCTTGATCTTCCCTCAGGTTCTCGGACACTCTGTTAGTGCAGCTGACCTCGCAGCAGCTGGAAGTGAGCAGGACGCCATTTTGGTTAAAAAAGCGAGAGAAATCAAAGACGTCTGAGTTTGTGTGTGCAGTGCTCAGGCAGCCGGGTCACGGTAGCACGAAGAGCGTGGGAAAGAAGCCAACTGGGCTTTGAGTTTGAAGGTGTTTGAGCTCGTAAGATGTCCCAGTTTCACTTTTCTCCCCTTTGACTAAACGTAGTCTTTAAAAGTAAAGATTGTTTCTCCATTAATCGAACTTTAAACGGTTCTTCAGGGTTAAACAGTTAAACTCTGGGTTTAATCGTGACTCCTTTTTTAATCCTCAGTTACTGGTTTTAAGGCGGGGAGGAACAAACATGTGAAATAAACCGACCGGAGAACATCTGGATCATCGCTGAAACGAAATGAAAACAATAAAAACAGTCAAACCAAAGTAACGCCGTGACTTGCTGCGTCAAACAGGATGTGGGGGTGGGGGTGGTTTGGAAAGGAGCCGCATATCCCGACCCCCACCCTTCCTCCAACCCACCCCCAGCATGCCCGACATTCTGCCTCGCGCTTGTGCGGCGGGCAGAAATAGACAGTGGTGGGAGGGAAACTCGAGCTGAAGTGCGAGGACTTGGGCGGAGCAGCCGTGTTTTCTCTGCCTGTGAACTACGAGCTGAGCAGCAGCTATGATGGATGCAGATTCCAGTTATCCTGAAGTGGCGGCGTGGTACAAAACGCACGTGGATGCTTTTAGTGACAAGACTTCTTCTTCTTGTCCCGCTGACCCGTCCTCTTCCGGCTCCCCGTCAGGTCCCGGCATTCCCCTGAAATAGGAGAGCACCCACCATGACGCCACAGACCACACCCGGCTTCCTTAAATATCCCGATACCTGCCGCGCTTCCTTTGTGTCTGGTGATGGGTCACAGCAGTCTGGCACATCTGCTCACATCTGCTTTTACACAGTGTAATAAACTGGAACCGTGTGGCTGGAGCTGGTGTGGGAGTCTGTTGCCATCACACATGTGCATAACGATGATGATGATGACGAAGGTTTCATTAAATGTTAATGACATGAAATGAAAACAAAGCTTTTATAAAGTGTTATAGGTTCATAAAATCTAAAGCCAGGTCATTTTAGTCCATTGGTAGCTGGTTGCTAGGTAACATGGCATCATGTCTGATATAGATCAGATCTTCAGAGGTCTAAGGTGTACCTGTGTGCCAGGTGTGCTTGGTTGACTGAACCGAGGTTTGGGGGCATTATCATCAAGCTGCGTCAACACAGGAAGTGACCAGAGAAAGTCGATGATGTCAGACAACTGCGGGTGAAAAAAATGGAAGCAAAGTGGGCGGGTCCTAAGATTAACTTCCCACTACTTCGAGGTGAATGAGCCCCGCCCCTCCCTGAGCCTGGTTCTGCTGCAGGTTTCTTCCCACTGTCACCAAGCTGTCGCTCAAACGGGATGTCTGCCCGCCGGGTTTCTCAAACTGGAGTCGTCTTCACCGACGAGCTCGAGTCCCAGCTGATTTCCTGTGAGACGAAACCGTCGTCATTAACGCCTTTAATTGTTTTTGGACAACAAAGCATCAGGATCCTCCGGCAGCAGCTGTGAGTCACTCTGGGTTTGATCAAACTGTGATGGGATTAGTCAAACACAGGCGAGCCATTTCGTAATCCCAGCAGGCCAACTGGCCAGAGCACCAAACCAGTAACGGTTCGCCAGTCGCTGCCTTTTATTGTCCTTCAGCGCTGATGGCGTTTGACATTTAAGAAAAGCTACGAATCCGTTTGTGCACAAGTTTAAGGAAACGAATAAAGAACCAAACAAATGTTGATAAGTGCTGTCCATAAAGACCTCGCCACAGTGGGATGGAGGCGTGTAGACCACTCAGCTTGTTCACTGATACTGGAACAGCCCGGAGCAGTCGGTGTTCATGTCTGACCACCAGCTACAGGTGGGTGGAGTCTGGGTGGTGTAACTCGGCGCTGGAGTAAGCGAGCTGCACATCATCGTGCGCCTGCAAACCTGAGCCTTTCTAGCCTGTCAGGAGTCTCCCAGCACATTTCACCACATGTGATTCCTGCAGTGCATATTTGGGTGTTGTTGAATTATGCAGCTAAAATAATGAAGATGTTATTCTTTGCAACAACGTGGAGCAAGTATGCAAGAGGAGAAGCCGTGATCGTGGCTCTGCAGCTGCTGTGAAGGCCTGTTTGTGTAAACGAGCGAGAGTTCCAGCGAGAGCACTTTAACCCACAGACCGGTCACCAGTGATAACATCAACGATATCGCCTCATAAATACAAATTAAAATGTAAATGAATAACCGTCGGTCATTTCCATATTCCTCCAGGTCAGCTGCTGCAGGTAAGAGCTCAGAGTCGGCTGTGTTTGTGATCATGTAGGTGTCGCCTCCGAGTCCAGCTCCAGGCTTCATTTATGTAACGCATCTGGTTCAGCTCCAGTGATACTGACACAGCCTGCATCACTTAGTGATATTACTGTAGTTACCTGCAATGTAAAGCACCTTAACGTGACTGTTGTCGTGCTTTGATGCTGTATAAATAAAGTTAAGCTGAATGTAGAGTCAGACACACTCCCCGCGTTCAACGGTAACCTGCAGACCGATGAAGTCTGGCTGATCTGCTCACAGAGTCCAAATCTGCTCGTTTCAGAGCTTCAAACAGGAAGAATCTGTTTAAGCAAACTTTGATCTTTGGAAGGAAGTCCGACTGGATCATTTATTTATTATGAAGTACGGTTGAGTCAGTGCTCCGCAGCTAACATTTTATCTGTCCCACGAAGTGTTTTTCCTGGCAGAGCTCCTGCAGTGTCTGCACAATGGGACCAACAGGAAGTGGAATGTCTCAGCAGGACTGGCTGAAATTACATATTTTATAAAAGCCTCCAATCTGCTTTTTTCTCTAAACAATTGTGTAGCGTGATAGAGAGGAGAAGGCGGCTCTGCTCTGCTCAGTGAAAGTGAGGCCTGAGCTCGTTTTTGAAACAGGAAAGAGTTTCTTCTGCTGATGAGACTCGGACTCCAAAAAGCAAACGACTTACTGAGCTGTGACGTTTGCATTCTCTTTGATTTTAGTGCTCGGTGAGCATCGAGCTGCAAACCTCTACCTTCAACCTGTCCTGAAATGATCCCATAATCATGGTTCACGTGCTCACCAGCACCTGGTCGAGCTGGTTCCAACCCTGTTGTTTTGTTGTTTGAGGTCAACTAACGGGAAATGTTGAGCATTAGGTGAATTTTGTCTGTTTATGAAATATGTGTAGAAGATGAGGGTTCATCGTATACGTGTCCAAAGGAAGTTCTCCAGTTAATGAGGAATGAAATGAATGTGATTCAAATATCGGCCACAGCTCATCATCCCAGCAAAGCAAGACAGGAATAAAAAAAGGAGCTTGAGGGGCTCAAAGAGTTGGGTGTTCGTCCTGTAATCGGAAGGTTGCTGGTTCGATCCCCGGCTCGGACAGTCTGGCGTTGTGTCCTCGGGCAACACACTTCCCTACCGCCTACTGGTGTTGGCCAGAGGGGCCGATGGTGCGATATGGCAGCCTCGCCTCTGTCAGTCTGCCCCAGGGCAGCTGTGGCTACAACTGTAGCTGCCTCCACCCGTGTGTGAGAGTGAGAGTGGAATTGTAAACCGCTTAATTGCAATCCGTTGTTGTTGTTGTTGTTAATAATAGTAAATATAAGACGAGTGCAGGTGTGGTCATGATTTTCTGTCTGTCCAGTAAGTGATGAAGGCAGAATTGATTAATAGACCACATCCATCCACCACAGCTGCAGTCGGAGGATGAGCTCTGCGTCAGCTGGTGGAGGAATCCTCACAGCGTTGATTCAAACGGCTACAATGAGGAAATCAATCAGCGACCAATACGGACGCATCCCGGCCGCAGACGCGTCGCTTCACAGTAACGTGTCGGGGATTACGCCGCTTCCCTCCGTTCACGTCCCTGTCGACCTGAAAGTGACGAAGCTCGGTGCAGTCACAGTGGGAGGGTGTCCACGTCTCACCGCCACGCTCCGTGAAACACGTCCACTCGGTGTGCTCCCTTTGAGCCGCATCCAGCTCGTTGAGACTCCACATTATGGTGCATTTAGCTCACGTTCCGCATGACGATCGCTGGAACTGCCCGTCGCCTCGCCAAGAGTATAAAGCTGCGTTCGTACTTTTAAATGACAAAGGTAGTAAACACCTTAAAAGGTTACTTGGCAACAAGAGGCGGGACTGTCGGTCAAACTAACTAACGACTGCAGGAGTCAGAATTTAAGAAAGACGTCCTGAGCAGTCCGAGTCCTCTGTGCTCTCCCGGCTCTGCTCGGTGATAAATGATCAATGAAAATCTGCTGCGCTTCAAAAGGGGCGGGACTTATGACACAATTTACCTGGACGCATGGACTCAAAGCCTGACTGGAATAAAAATGCTTTGTGTAAACGTGCCAAGAATCTGTTCCTCCAATCAGGAGTTAGATCATCAGTTTGACAGGTGTGCGTTATGTCAGCCTCACGGGGACGCGTGGCGATCTAGTCTGAAGACGTGAACATGGCTGCTGAAGGGTTTCCCTGATCCAGCTTTAAATCTGTGGAGGCGAGCCCGCCTACGCGTAGCGTGGTGCCCACCGGGCTCTGTTGGTTTATTCTGGGCGAGGCTTGAATTGCGCTTTTCTTCGATCCTGTCAGAGGCCGCGTCGTGAGCAGAGCAGGACTTTCTGGATCCTGTTCAGTCTGGAACCTGAAGCCTGCTCCTGTTCTCCGTTTATCTTTACCTGATCTCTGTCTGGTGTCTCTGGCGGACATGTTTTTGTTTTCTCCCTCACTTCCTGGATAAGTGATGGGGTCAGACGTGCAGAAGTGATGGTTTTTGTAATCTAGCAACCAAAGGATGCGGTGGGCGTGTCCAGCGACTCTCATCAATATGCGTAACTTTTTCCACATTCGGAGCGTCTGCTGTCTTTGCAAACGTCACACCGACAGTTTCCACGAAACAGTAAATGAGTCGAACAGCTGCTCGATATCTAAAAACGGCTGTAAGATGTGAACGTTCTGCACATTTTCACTCCCGTGTTGTGAAAGATGAGGACACATCACCATCAGAAAAGGAACAGCAGCGGGAAAATGAAGTTACGAATCCGACCGCCGTCTCCCATCTGATTTTAAACAAACTTCAGTCAGGCTTCTGACGCTGAAACGAATAAAAACGCTCCGTAACGACAGCGTGCTCGTACCCTCAGACCACCCTCGCTCACTTCTGATGCTGACCCGTTATGTAAACCGGTCTTGTTGGTGGGGTTGCTGCTGTCGGGGGTAAAGAGTTAAGTGCTTCTTAGGAAACAGCTCAGAGACCGTTTAGCCTCCCTGAGTCATGCTCCAAGTGCGTGTGTCGTGGTGTTGATCTGGTTGCTAGGCAGCAGCATGCTGTAGAGCTGGAATGGACCTCGATAATGGAGGAGGAGGAGGAGGAGGAAGATGGGGGTTGTTTTGGTTTCAGTGAAGCTTGAGTTTAAAATGGAGATGATGAGCGTCATTTTTCAGCTTCACAGCTTCAGCAGATTGGTCTTATTGTCCTCGTGTAGATCACAGCTGTGTTTATAGAAATCAGGACTTGATCTTTTTGGATGATTTTGGAGATTACATCAGTCCAACATACTGTCATGGATACAGGAAGGAAACCAGTCATTGAACTTTCCTCCTCACTCTGACTTTACTCTGACGGTGCTTCTTCCTGCAGTCGTCTTCGTCTGTGTGTGTGTTTAATTTGAAATGGAAACGTGTGTTTTGCCTCTGAGGCAGCAGCAGCCGCTGCCGGCTTGTTGTTATCAGGCCCTCACAGAGATTTCCTCTGACTGGGGGAACGTGTCGCTTCAGATCGGTTGCAGATGTGTGGACTTGTTTCTCAGACCGATGGTGGAGTGTACACCAGAAGGTGATGGGCTGAATGAAGATGCGTTCAACTTTTCTCTGTTTTTGATGGTTCAGTTTCTCTGAGGAGCCTCATTTGAGCCTCATATCTACAGTCTGTGTTTTACCTGCAACAGGTGGGGGTAAGTCACGCCCCCTAAGTAGACTACTGTGGATTTTACACCCCTGAAAGAATTAGTTAGAGTATAAGTGGATGCTGTGTTGAGAACTTTTAGTGCTTCACCTGCAGTCAGACAGGAAGTGAAGCCATTACTTTACTTGTTGCTCTTCCACCTTGATTCGTGCAGCTGTGTGAGTTTGGTGTTTCAGTGTGGATGCATACAAACAGCTTTCATGTGGATGACTACATGTGCCGTGTTCTGCGTTGCAGCTTACTGGAGGTGTAATCCTGGGAGTGGCCCTGTGGTTGAGACACGACCCCAAGATCTCCACCCTGCTGGGTCTCGAATATGATGGAAACCACGCCCCCAGCACCTTCTACATCAGTACGTACTCATCTGTCTGCTTCATGTGACGTGTGTGCTCACCACGTTATGCTCCTGTCTGTTTATGAATCTTTTATTTGTCCAGGTAAAATCTCACTGCCCTGGTTCATGGCAGCAAAGGTCAAAACAGTTAAAAACAAATCAGCGGACTTTCCTGCCGTCGTTCATTGTTAGATATTCTCAGCCCGCAGATATGAAAGCAGAAGGATTCATTTAGTGCTACAATCATAGGATGTATGTGAAACATTAGCTCGGTGCAGGTGTGATTCGCACCGATCTGAACCAGGATGCACCTGGTTGTGTAGCATGCAGCTAGACATTGGAGCTGAAAAACATCCCGTGTGAACTACAGATGCTATCTAGCAGCTAGCCTTGAGATGAAGGATAATTCTCCGTATTCTTCCTCCTGTATTTACTTTTGCTGCTCCCACCCCAGACACATGGTAACTGGACTGATTCTTATAAAGCGCTTTTCTACTCTCAAAGTGCTCTATACAACACCCAGTCACACCAGCACTGACTCTAAACTGAGTGCTGTCTAACCACATTCACACTCCGCTGGACGCATCAGAGAGCAACTTGGGGTCGATACTGGGCATGCAGACTGGAAGAGCCAGGGATCGAACGCCCGATCAGTAGGTGACCAGCTCTACCTCCTGAGCTACATCCACCTCCTCCACACATCTGGCCGGTGAGCAGACTGAACATGGTCACATGGTTTGTAGCGACGCATTTTTGGTTCGCTTGGAGTTCACGGGACTCGAGCCAGAGTGAACCAACTACAGGTGTGAAAACGTCCTCGGTGTTTAGCAGCTCAGTAACTTCCAGTCAAAATTGTCCTGTTCGTGCAGTGACCTCACAGCAGCCATATTATTGGTCACATGATGTCATTGAAAAGGCTCCAACAGCACAAACACGGTCCAGGTGAAGCTAGCAAACCGCTAGCAGCTTCAGCCACCTATCTGTCAAAGAGGCCATGCCCCTAATAATGCAAACTTTAATACAATTTAAACAGGTGAGTTATAGAAGTCATGAGGAAGGAAATGATCCACAGAGACCAAACAGTTTGTTTCAGGCTGTAAACATGTTTATGGGGACTGACTCGCTGCTGCCCCTGCTGGTTAGGACTGTCCTCTGTGAGCACCTGCTCACCTGGTCAGTTTTGTGCCAGTTTTATTGAGCTCATGATTAAATATATTAGTGAGTGAAGCCTTCATGTCCCTAACACTTAGTTTATACCTATTTATTAGGCACTATCAAAGTTTAACGTTGTTATTTTAACATTAATAATGAATCAATCGTGCATCTGCCTCACAGACTGAAGTAGTTCCACTTATCAGGGCATAAATAGTTTATGTGGATCTATCAGAGAAACACATCAGCTCGCTGCGATGAAAGCTCACCGTTGTCCTCCTCGCTCTTATTAAAGCTGAGATGAAATCGAATGGGTTTAAAACGTTGGACCAAAGCCGTGCAACAGATGTTCTGAAGAACGTCCAGATGTTCTGAAGAACGTCCAGATGAGGTTGTAGCCGTGGTAGGAGGGGCCTGGGTTTGAACGCCGGTGGGGTCCCGCTGTGTGGAGTTCTCCACGTGCTTCCAAAGATTCCTGGATCAACTCCTGTGGTTCTTTCTTGGACCAAGAACCAACAAAGGAACCTGACCAGAACTTTAAATCCTCCCGACACACGACTAAAACATCCTCGTCCTCCAAATGTTCGGCTTCTTTAATTGCAGTCGTGGATTTTTGCAGCTCAGTTTTCTCTGACTGAAATCATGAATCTGGACTGCATGGCTTCTAAGCATTCTCACATGTTTCTGAGGCTGCTGCTGTGAGTTTAAGTCACCGGAAATAAAAACACTGAGCTCTGAACTCTGAGTGGCCACCACGCCTTGTAGATGAGAGAGGGGCTGCTGCAGAGCAGCAATGGCAAAGGCTCGACGCGCTGCAGCGCGGCGATGACGGTATCGTGTCGGGCGTCAGCTGGGGACGGGCTCAGGAAACGCTGGACAGTTGGAGGATGGAAAAAGTTGATATGATGAATGTTATTTCCTGCTGAGTCGCACAGATTCAGGGTTTGGCGTGCCTGATCTGTGAAGCCAGAGCATGTCGATCCCGCCTGCAGCTGCTGCAGTGATGGAGGGGGGAGGGGTTCTTGGCCCACTGCAGGCCTCTTTGTACCAATCAATCATGGTTTGAATACCACAGGGAGAGGCAGAGTGTTGCTGCTCACCATGATGTGCATCACTTTATGGACACGGCTTTCCGTTCTCTAATGGCTGCAGGAAAATGCTCACGCAGCGAAAGCCAGACTGGTTTTTGAACATCCCAGTGAGTCCAGTGCAGAGAGGCGGGCCCATTCGTGCTGTGCAGTTCTGTCACAAACACACAGTATGGAAGCTACTCCTGTTGGTGGAGCATTCAGAGCTCACTTTTTAAGCTGCTTCAGCTTCCCTGCAGTTGCTGCTGCTTCCTCTGCAAGCTGCTTTGCAACCCAACAGCTCCTCCTTTTCATTGTAACTTAGTGAGTGTGGTCATCCAGAGGAGGAGACCAGGTGTGTGCTGGCGCAGGTATCGTGGCAGGTCCTGGGGCCGTGCTGCCGTCTGACAGAACCATCAGAGGACGACACGAATAGGTTTTGTAACGGCGCCATGTTGCAACTCGGGTGGAGCGTGGGATTCGTAGCATGAATGCGGTTGTCGTGTGACACAGTCAGGTGGAAGTGAAGCTGAACGCTCTCAACTTCTCGTGGTATTCATGACTTGTAGGTCAGAGGCTGTTTTGAGAGCTCAGCCCGCCGCGCCCAAACCAACAGCTACTTGTGATCAGCGCTGATGGAGCGCACACAGGCCGTCACGTGATCCCGTTTAAAAACGGCTGTGACGAGATCCGAGTCGTTCCCCCGTCTGTGAGTCATCTGCAGGGAGTAGAGAGATGAAAGCTGGCATTACAGGAAAAGCAGAACTGGTGTGATTTAGCAAAGTAAAAGTGAGGAAGCGTCTCGCAGGGAAAATAAAGGCGTGGCTGTTTGGACGGCGCCGTCGGGCTGCGGTTGTTAAAGGGGAAAAGCTTCGCTCATTAGAGAGGATCCACTCAGGGACTTTCTCTGCAGCGGCCTCGATGATTGCACCCTCGCATTACATAAAGCCTCCCTCTCATTCCCGAGGAGGGGAGGAAAAAAACACTGTCGGGATAGGAAAAAATTCCTCACTCGCTCCTGCTCCTCCTCCTCAGTGACCCCACCCCTCCTCCCCCGTCCTCCTTTGCTTGCTCCTGCTTTCCGTCCCCATCTGGTTGTGTTTAGCGTTCAACTCAACTTATTTTTCCGTGGCTCGATCGCCATCTTTCCCCTACATCTGTTTCTCTCCTTTCTCCCGGCGCTCACAGACACGGTGACCCTCCTCTCGCCTTTCTACACGATTAAACACATGCACACACTTTAAACTGTGTTCTGAAGCAGCGACAGACGCCTGAATAGTCGCCTTGAAATGTGCTCATGATTCTAAAAATGAGTTTCTCTTGAATTCTGGAGATGTTGCTTCAGTGGAGGAAGTGATTTCTCACTTCCTCCACTGAAGCCGTACTGCAGATTTCTCAGTGATGAGTAGTCAGGGGTTTGGTTTCCTGCAGGTTTGGTAATCTTTTGTTGCACAGTTGGTAAGAATTTTATCTGACCGTACAAATGCCTTTTTTAAAAATCAGGCTTACTGGAAAGATTAAAGAAGTGTAACCTGATGAGTCAGACGTAGATTCATTTTGTAAACCTTGCACTGGATCGTCCCCAACAGCTCTTCTGTCTTTGTCACGAAGTGGAACGTTGAGAATTTTATTTTGAAATGACTTCCTGTCATGTACTTCCTGTTCTAGTGGTAGATGTTCCAATTAAACATAAAGTTTCTGATAGTGTTTTTTCTACTCTTGGATCTGAATGATGTCACAGAAACGGGATAGAAGCCACACCCTTTTTTCTTTGTGAGTTATAGCCAATTAAAAGAAAGTTGTCTCAAAGAGGGAGTAGCTAAAATGGCGTGTTGTGGAGGATGAGCTGAGGCCCAGTGTCAGAGGATTATTTTGAATATTTCAAACTGTTAATCATGCAAAGCTGCTCTGTAAGAGTCCAAGAGTAAGAACGTGGATCAGAATAATTCCTCTTTGCATAAGTCGTCTTTGAGAGCTCAGCTGCTGCTGATGGAAAGTTAGCATGGCGCTCGCTCGGAGCTCTGGAGCGAGGCGTTAATGGCGCTGTGACGCACGTGTAGAAGAACTGTATGAATATGCTTCAGTTCAAGAGTAAGCTACTTACCTACTCTTAGTTCATCTGCGAGGCCCGTGTATGATGTAATAATCATTATAATGACAGTGTGAGTGAATGCTGTTAGCGGCAGAGGCTCGTGGCGAACGTTCGGTCAGGGACGGCTGAAGTTTTGGTCTGAACTTCTCTCTCACGGACTCCATCGTGAGCTTTGAAGCTCTCGCAGATCTTCACACCTTGATTGTCATTCAGCACAAACGTCCTCGGTCTCTGCGACTCTTACAAGACACAGATGTGGAAGATGAAAGCCCTCTGTGAGTACTGCAGTCTCACAGAAACCAGGCGTGTACACGATAAAAGACCTGTCGACAGGTGACTCTGACGTACTCTGATTACATCCTGTGGAAACAGATGCCTGATGACAGTCGCGCAGATAGATCGTTTGTTTATATCGAAAGTTTTAAATTATGACTCGGAACCAAATATTCTCCTTAATCTTAAACATAACATTTCATATTTGCAGAAAACTTTATGAATTTAAAAATGCTGAATGTGTAGGGCGGGGCCTAGTTGAGCTGTACCCAGGTAAATGTGGAGAGCATTTCCTGAAATGCACCTTTTTCACAGTAAAAGCCTCTAAACCCTCTTTTTTTAAATCTCCAGTAAATGTCTGAGGACACTGGGGCTTCAGGAAGTTCTCGTGCTCTCAATCACTTGACTCCACTCAGTTTCCTGTTCAGCAGCAA